TGCATTCGGGTTCGTGGCTCCTATCCGGTTTTGTAAAGGAAACTCAGCCGGCATCCTAAATTCATTGCAGCCCCAGAGTGAGGTTGCTTCGGGGTATCTGAAGATTTTGACGGGTTTTTGGTGGTCCAAGCTCCTAGCCCCTCTTATACCCGAAACTTCATAGAGTCCTTGCGCCAGGAAGGCAAGATGCCCACTTGCAATCTCTTCGGGTCGTGCGGTGCATCTTGGCTCCAGATGGCTGTGAATTTTGGGTCTCGCGGTCTTACGCTTCAGGGTTGGGTCATTCCCCCTCCCAGTAACTGTCCTTAAAGGGGCCTTAGTAAGGGGGTTCTTATAACTCCTATAACCCATTGTGGTAACAGTTACTGTAAGGGGGAATGACCCCACTTTAGGGCTTGGGACGCCTCTATTTTGGCTAGCAATTTGCAATTTTCATATGAATCCCCAGGGAGAGCCCCTTCGTGAAGTTGCACGGCTAATTTGTGGCGTCTACAAAATTCCCGAAGATCCTGAACATTCTGCCCATTATGCCCATTTTCGAGGTAGAGTGGCCATTGCTCGCAGAATTCTCTGGGCTCCTAAAGGGGTTCGCAGAATTAGGGATTTATGAGCCTTTTTGCACGGGCCACCTTGTAACACATAGTTTGAGGGAGAATGCAAGGTCTTCACCTTGTATTCAAGGGCATGGTCAGGTTGATCCATGGCGTGTCTGATTGAAGCTTGCGTAATGTTTCAGGCTTCCGGCCAATTAAGAATGCCCCCCGCCTGATCTTGTTTTGCGTTTTCGGTCTACGGATAGGGGGGGGGGTGTTGCAATGCTAGACCTAGACCAGGGTGTTGAGGCAGGACTAGGTACTGCAGCTCGTAGTACCAGTAGTACTAGTAGAAGGAATTCTTTAAGATCGGGGCACTTTCGGGCGGACAATATTCTTATTGTCACTCCCTTATTTTTGTCGATGGGCCTTGTTTACACCTTGTCGGGCTCCGAACTTGTTAGAAAGCAGATGTAGTCTTCCGGGATTTTTCTGGTTCGGCAACAATATACTATTGTCATCTATTGTCACACCCACTTGAATAGCGTTACCAACACATCATATAGGTGGTTCGTCATGTTGCCCGTTGCTTTCTGTCCAGAAGAAGCCACACTCTAACATGCGGTACTTGTGAGGCCCATATTGAGAGAATTTGAAGACAGTCGTCAATCCTTCACTGCCTGAAGGCTAATTATTTCGTAGCTCTTTAGAGTTCGCCCAGCCCGCGCTTTTTCTCACATGCCAGACACCCTCCAGGCTTCAAACCCAATTCCACATTGTCAAATAGTGAGAGTTGGCCCATTGCTGAGCTCTGGAGTTGCAGACTCCCCCACCCTGAACCCGAATCTCTGCCCTCAGCTTAGGAAAGCATGTAAGCGTCGCTCGGAACTGTAGATCCTAAAGCCAAAATCCGGAATCCTAAGCCCTCAGCCCTAGATTTTTCACACCAGGCGGACCAGGCGTGAGGCGTGCAGCGGTACAGAGTTGCCGCGCCTGGGTGACGGTTTGTGATCTTTTCGCAGAGTTCAGGAATTGAGGTAGAGGATTGTAAAGTGCTAGGTGTTGAGCTATAGGAACTTCAGGGTTTAGGATGGATGGTTTAGGGTTCAGTCTTGGCGAGGTTCCTAGATGGTAGAAAATGCATCCTAAGCTTAAGCCGCCTAACCAAGTTGCAGAAAACATAGCTACTTTCTGTACTTTTCTTGGCAGGTCGGAGCCCATACAACTTGTACGCCGCAATCCCAAACACGCCAAACCCTGAACCCCGCTCCGTAAGCAATCATAAACCTGAACCTAGTCGCTGAGCAAACCTATACCCCAAGCGCTGAACCTACGCCTCAGACCCCTAAAGCCGAAACTCTAAACCTTCGAACCACAAAGCCCAAATGCTTAAACCCTAAACCCAAAGCTGAAAAGCCTCAAGCCCTCAACCCCGAACCCTAAACCTGAAACCCTAAAGCCCTAAACCCTGGGTGCAAACAGATGACTTAAAACTAAGTGTGGTTGTCGGGACGCGTGTGCTGCGCGCAGACATCATAAGAGTCCTCGAGTCAACAAAGAAAGCCAGCATCCCTGCACTCCAAACCCTACAGCCGTAGATCCTAAACCCAAAGCTCCAACCCTAAAGCCCTGGATCCTGAACCCCAAACCCTAAACCCAAACCTAAAACCTAAATCCCTAAACCCTCCAAACCAGGTGTGGGCTGGGGTCGATGCACCTCTCAATTATGGACCAGGCCGTGAGTAAAATCGGGAATCAAATAGACACCAGTATTAAGAATTCAGGATTTAAGATTTAGGGCTTACGGTTAAGGGATGTTAAGGGTTTAGGAATGGAATCATGGAGAATCACATGCACAAGCAAATGAGAGCTCAAATGGGAACCGGGGATGTATGGGAATGTCTAGGGTATAGGGTTCAGAATTGGGGCTTAGGGAATAGTACCCCCATAGTGCAGGAAATTAAAATTCAACCTGAAACCCTAAACCCTATTTATGTATATGGAAGCTTTCTTGGGGGGGGGGTATAGACTGGCCCATGGACTAGTACCCCTCAATAGGAATGAAATGGGGCTTCACAAGATTGTTTAGGGTTTAGCATTTTTAGGGTTTAGGGGATGTAAGAGCTAGGGAGAACAGTTCTGCTGTGAGTAAGGAACATACCTCAAATTATGGTGTGATCCCTATGTGCTTCAGGTCACATTCCTTAATCAGGGGGTATGGGGCTACCTGGGAAAACCCTCAACCCATTCCGGGTTCATGCTTCAGATTGAGGGCATTGTGTCAGGATTTGCGTTTAGGGTTTTAGGGTGGCAGATTCAGGATTCGTCGAGTTTTCCACACAGGGGGTTGTGACTGAGGGAGTCCCTTGTAGAAGAAATCCGCACGGCTCACATATACCAAAACCTTCCTCGTACCCTTGATTGGGGAGTCCTGGTCGAAATAGTGTGTACCTAGGCCCTAATAGGGTTTTGGGTTTAGGGTTTAGGGAGGGTCTTGGCTAGTTTGCTTGTGTTTTGCGCGCTGCCGGTGTGATCATGTCAGCCTTGGCAAATTGTTGGTTCTTTCGTGGTCAGCTTCAGTCATTTTACTGACTGCTGCAATCCCTAAGGGTCCAAGGACCCAAATAATTGGGCTTCAGGGCCCAAATACTGTAATATTAGTTGTATTTGGGCATGAAAGCCCTCGCATTTAGGTCCTTGGACCCTCAGGGTATTGGTATCATTGACACGAGATTTCCTGGCTTTTGCATATCAGGAATTCCTCCTAAATCAGTGTAATACTTGTCCTCCCTTTGTTCGAATTCCCACTGTACAGCGTGCTGTTGTGACTATAGATTTCTCACTCTGAATTCTATCATTGCAGTTGCAACCGCTACCTCTCATATTCGAGCTGTTTTCTTCTTCTGCTGCTACCGCTGCCCATAATCATCAACACGATGACTCCTCCCCCTCCTCCTTCTCATCCCCCTCTCTCTTCCTTCTACACATTCCAACTTCTACTGCGACTGCGAATGCTGCTGCACATGCACACTACACTAACGCAGTAGCTCCGCAAAGGCGACTGACACGGACCTTGGCTCCAGCACCTCCGGATGATTCGTGGAAACAGTTTCTGTTGGGCCACTACCAGTTTGAAACTTGTAGGGATCCCGAGAATCATGCGCTGAATTTGGGGTTTCTTCCAGATTTCCTGGCATGGCTTGTAAAGGCTCCGTAAAGATGGGACCTTATTCTCAGCTCCCTTTTCCTTCTCCCAAGTTAAGTAGACCCCCTAGAAGCACTGGTTAGGGTAAGCTAGCGTGGAGCATAGGACCCCATAAGAAGCTGCCGTTGAAGGCCGGCCCTGCACTAAGCAAGGAACACAGAGATAATCCTTCGTTGCATCGCACAGAAGGACAATGTCAAAACTAGAATTGTCCAAGGGTTCCTCTTTCGGTCATTTCTGATACTTAAAGATTGCGGAAAGGTGTGAGGTCATCAGTTCCCCGAAGAAGCTTGTTTATGTTGTCTCCTCAAGCAGAATCGGTCGAGGTACAGCGAGGGACCCAAGGCTTTAGCCAGGGACCCTCATTTGATTTTTGCCGTCGTGTTCCAGCCTCCGTGCGACATTAATCGACAATTCCATTATAGCAATTCGTTTGACCCACACATGATGGTGTCAGGACTTGCATTGAATGCGCAGAATGTGCAGATATTTTGCACCCTGGCCGGACTCGCAACGACGTTTGTGAGGATGGTATGCAACCGCGCTTCAAGCGTGGATGTTCCCAACAAGTTGGCATCCAATTTAGAGACTCAACAGGTCTTGCCAAAATCTTTAGAGTGACGCCGCCCTTCCCCCGCAAATCTGTTGTCCTCGGGGTTTTGAGACGCTTGCGCAAGCTAGTGGTGAGAATAAGGAATGACTGAGGTGTAGAGGCTTGAATTTCAACTGAGTAATGTTTTTTGGGGGGGATATCATGGTACCCAATATAGAGTAAGATTATACCTTCCTTTTTGGTATAGTATTTTACATAAGGAATATTGTCTTGCTAGGGTCAACCACCAAAAAACATTACTCAACTATTGTTGCATCAGCCTTGCGGAACGCATTTGCTTAGCTTTCCTTCAACCTCGCAAATGCCGTGCTCATGTTCCAAGTGCTTCCCGAAGCAGCATGCCCGTCTCAGCTATAGTCTAAACTCCTCAAAGGGGGTTATATAGGGGGTTCTATAGGGGACTACTAGGAGTTTAGACTATGGCCCATCTTGATTGGACCCTACAAAGGCGAATTCCGACAAGCCCCAATGTCATCCCCTCCCCATTACTCGGGTTCCCCACAGATCCTTACATGTACCACCTGGACGGGTAAGGCCGCTGAACTCCCAGAGCGAAACTTGGGGGATGGATTGGATTGAGCGCGCTCTATTGTGTAGGGGCTGCCCCTGTTACGACTTGGGAGCTTCTGAAGGTTGAGGGCATTTCCCGAGCTAATCCCATAATGTATGCTCGATGGGCGTCCAATTTTTGGGCTGATATGGCTCAAGATCCGCGTGCTTTTGCAGTTTGAGACAAGCCAGCTGCAAACCTTTCCGCTGCGCCTCGGCTTGCATGTGACTGATTGTCGTAAGTATGCTCACGCCTTGCATGCCTTTCGGAGTACAGCACCTGACAGTCTGTATAACGTGACCTACATAACATGTCAGCCGCAAGGCCCAGACCCGAAGCGTCCAAGGACCTGAATAATAGGGTTTTAGGGCCCAAATACCATTAATATTGTAGTATTCGGGCCCTAAAACCCTACTATTTGGGTCCTTGGACCCTTAGGCAGACCCTTCAAAACCCCAGACCCTTCATCCTTAAAGGGTTTGCTGCTGCAAGGGTGAAGCTACCAGGCTAAGGGAGCCCAATACCCCGCAAGAAGGAATAATGTAGACCCATGGGGATGAAAAAGGGATGACACAGAGGTTATGTAGGGGTAATGGAAAAGAACATGGAAACTACTATTTAGGGTTTAGGGTTTCGGATTAATAGCCATTTCCTTTTAAGGGTTTTATGGGGTATTATAGGGGTTTATAGGGTATAATAACCCTCCTCAATTTTTAAGGGCCTACATATTCGGATCCCTATTGTACTCCCTATTAAGGGAAGGGGGTTCATTGATCGGGTCTCCTTAGGGATTACTTTCAACTTTCATTGTAGTATAACCCTAAAGAATTATTGAACATGATATTTTCATTTTAGGTCCAGGGGACTACAGTCAGTAAGTAAGGTATATCGGACTCTGGGGCTTGGCCACGCGCCAAGACGATTTGCGTTGGTGGCGTTAAGTAGGAGGCCATCGTCCGCATAGGGAATATGGCAGTAAACTAAATATAGGGGTTATATACATATGGGGATTATATTCTCTTATCCCCTACCAACCCCCAGTAAGTAATTCTGCAAGCAAGATCCAGGTCACGTGTACTTATCTGTGCCTCGAAACTGATACTTGTAGCCATATTACATAATCATATAAGCTCTAGTCTGAACTCCTTAAAGGGGGTTATTTAGGGAATTATTTAGGGGACTACTACAGAGGATATTAAGGGGCATACTAGGAGTTTAGACTGTAGTTCATATGCTCGCCAAATCCATGGGCTCCTGGCGTGTCGTTCTTTTCATGCAGCCAATCCCTGGGGCTCCAAATGGCCCAATGTAGGTACAATTTATAGACATAGGGGCCCAATGTAGGTATCATTTAAAGACGTGGAGGCCCAGGGAATGCATTATTTTGAAGGCATGGAACCCCGGGGTATGGCCCTGTCAAACAAATGATCAATGACAGTGGGCCAACACAGGACCCCAATGTCTATGAATGGTACCTACATTGGGTTATCTGGAGCCCTGCTGATACTATGCTCTCGAGGATTGTGCACCTATGCGTGACATGGCCACCTCATCGAATTAGAAGCATCCTGTCTACTCACCTGCCCACCGTTACTTC